CGCCCCCTCCGCCTGGGCCCGGGATGGCGCTCGGGCGCCGCGGCCCGGTCCGACCCGCGGCAGGGCCCTGGCAGTCCGTGCCGCTCCCTGAGCCGCCTGGTCCCTTCTGCACGATGACGGGGCGGCAGATGCGCTCTTTCTGTTCTTTGGCAATCAGACCATTTGTTGGGCGGCCCCTGTGCGCCGGGCAGTGTGCCAGGCGCCGAGATTCGAGCAGCGGACTTCGTGATCTGCGTCTGGCCGTCTGTAATTCCAGGGCCCCGCTTCACCGGTCTCTGAGGACTGACTGGACAGGCATTTGGGGAGACAGGCAGGGGTGGGGGTTGGGACACAATCGGCTTTGAAAGCCAGGGGCCTGTTAACTACTCACTTGAAGTTCCAAGTGCCCAGTGGGTGTGTGTGGCACCTCCTCTGGCCTCCCTCACCCAGCTCTGTGATTTGGACCCAGACCCAGGGTTTCCTAGATGTCACCTAATGTAGGGTTGATGCTACAGGACCCCAGTGTTTTTCAGGAATTCTGAGTGTATTTGTTTTCTATTGCTATGTAGCAAATTACCACAAATTTAGCAGCTTAAAACAACACACATTATTATCTCACAGGTTCCAGGTCAGGAGCCCTAGTATAGCTCAGCTGAGTTGTTTGCTTGGTGTCTCAGAAGGCTGCATTCTTACCTGGAGACGCAGCTGGGGAAGAATCCACTTGGGAGCCCATTCAGGTTTGGTGGCAGAACTTATTTCCTTGCGACTGTATGACTGAGGGCCTGCGATTTTTGCTGGCTGTCAGCTAGAGGCCTCCCTCAGGTTCCAGAGGCCATCTGCGGTTCCTAGAAGCCCTGTGGGCTTCTCCAGCATACCCGCTTGCTTCATCAAGGCCACAAGGAGAGTCTCTAGCTCCAGTCTGCTAGGACAGAGTTTTATATAGTGTAACCTATTATGTATGGGGAGGGACATCCCATCACTGTTGCCTATTTTGTAGGTTAGAAGCAAGTCGCAGGTCCCACTTGAACTCAAGAGGAGAGGATCACACAAAGGTGTGAGTACCAGGAGGCAGGAATCATGGGTCACCTTAGAGTCTGTTCACCACACTGGGCTTACTGACAAACCTAAGGAAAAGTATAGGAAAAGAGAACTGGAGACTAGGATAGGAGAGAGTAAGAAAAGAAGACAAAATACATGATGTGGACTGGTAGAAAGGCAACAACAGTGACCTCAAGGATCACTAGTTGTTACACCTGCCAAAGGCCACCAAGCCATGCCCTTGGTGCCAAAGATTCTGGATTTGGTGAGCCTCCCCTTGAGTGAACCACGTTGTGGGCTTCCTCCTCTCTTGCTCCTTGGCTCTGGACATACTGGTTCCAGTACAAATTCCTGCTGTCCTGTCCCAACTGGGTCCTCTCGCAACCCTACACCTTTTCTTGCTTCTTGTCACTTTACAGAAACCAAAACTATCCTGCTTGATTTTCAGCTTCCTTCCTTTCTTCCTCATAATTTCTCTCTATTTGCATCTGTCCTTTCCTCTCATCTTAAAGATGTGGGCCTCCTGCCCATGGCTAACCCTCCACTCATGTCTTGTCTCTCTTCCTGTTCATCGAGACTGCAAACACATGCTCAGTTCTCCTCTGTCAATTAAAAAGCAAAGCTAAGGGGCCAGCCCTGTGGCCTAGTGGTTAAGTTTGGTGCGCTCTACTTCAGTGGCCGGGGTTCTGTTCCCAGGCGTGGACCTACACCACTTGTTGGCAGCATGCTGTGGTGGTGACCTACACACAAAATAGAGGAAAACTAGCACAGATGTTAGCTCAGGGTGAATCTTCCTCAACAACAACAGAAAAAGCAAAGCTAAACTAAAAAACAACGCCAGAAACAGCTTTCCATGTTTGGCTACCTCCTCACTCTAGCTTCAGGTTTATCTTTTTCTCTCTCATAGAGTCATATTAAAGAGTAGCTACCACTTCATTGTCACCTATTCATTTCTTAACTTTTTATGATTTGGCCCCTGTCTACATCACTCCCCAAAACTTCTATCTTAAATGTCACTAGTGACCCATTTAGTGTGGCATAGACTACTCATTCTCACCAATACCCAGGGTTCCCAGCCTCTCTTACAGATAGGTGTGGCCAAGCGACTTAATTCTGGCTAACGGAATGTGAGTGGAAGTGACAGCCTGGCCCATAAAACTCCCAGGTGCTGATCTTTGCTCTCCTTCCTATCTGCTAGCACAATGGAGGAGACTCTGAGAATGTAGAAGAGAGTCAAACCAGCTATCCGCATTCCAAGTTTCAAGGTCCTACTCCTTCTCAGTTAAGTTAACTCAGTTAAGTTACTAAGTTAAGGAAAGACTTAGTAAGACTGAATTCAACTCATGTAATTCTGCAATATGAACACTATTTTTGCTTTATTTGTAGCAATAAGTTTGGTGGCTACAAGAAATAAGAGATTCTTTTATGGTTGTGGTAGAAGCTCTATGACTCTATGACCATGACTTGAGCTGAGAATTTAAAGAGCTTGTAATTTTCTTTCTGCAAGGACCCTGGTGCATTCAGAAGAATTCCTCCCATACCAAGTCCCTGTGGTCATCATCACTGCAGTCAACTGCAACAACCACTTGGGCCCCCAAAGCACTTGCTCTCGTTGGCGCTTCATCACAAATAACCACAGGCGATAATTTGATTAATCATGATGCCACAGCATGCCATGGATTGGTAGCATCACGTTTCTCATTAGCAAGGAGCTTAGCACATTCAAACCCAATGACACAACCAAACCCGTTCCCTAATCCCATTTTTTTTTTAAATATTTATTTATTTTTTTGTGAGGAAGATCAGCCCTTAGCTAACATCCGTGCTAATCCTCCTCTTTTTGCTGAGGAAGACCAGCTCTGAGCTAACATCTATTGCCAATCCTCCTCCTTTTTTTTTTTTTTCCTTCCCCAAAGCCCCAGTAGATAGTCGTATGTCATAGTTGCACATCCTTCTAGTTGCTGTATGTGGGACGCGGCCTCAGCATGGCCGCAGAAGCGGTGCATCGGTGCGTGCTGGGGATCCGAACCCAGGCCACCAGTAGCAGAGCGCGCGCACTTAACCGCTAAGACACGGGGCTGGCCCCTCTAATCCCATTTTTTGAAGTCTGTTTCCTGGGACCCCTCCTAGTACCAATTTCTGTATCAGTCAGGGTCCAGCCGATAAAACCACACCAGTCATTGGACAGAGAGAATTTAATATAAAGAATGGTTAAAATGGCTAACTAGGTATAAAGTTGTTAACTAGATAACTGAAAAGGTAAAAAGAAAACTGAGATATCATGGAGACAGCAACAGCAAGAAGCATCTATAACTCCTAGGGCTAGGAGAACAAAGGAAAGAGTTTGTTATCACTAAAACTTAGAAATTTATGAGAGGGGCCCTACAGAGCTGAAACTCAGACCTCTAAGTCTGGTGCTCGTGTCTCTGAACTTGGAGGGACCAACACCTCTGAGGAAGGGGTGCCACCCAGCTGATGCTGGTGTCTCTGATTGGGACACCATGAAGTTAGTTCTGCAATTGTTGGAAAAAAACTGCAAAGTAGATTCAGCTGCTGCTACAGGAAGGAACTGCTGCTGTGGGGGTGAAGGAGCATTGCTAGGGTGACCTCACAGGAACAGGAAGCAAACAGAAGAAAGGAGCCTTTTCTTCCTCCTCTGGCCTCACTGTCTCCCTCTAGTGGCCCATACTGGCAGAGCCAAACAGAGCCAGCTGACAAAGCAGAAGTGTGATTTGCAGAGTCCCAGCTCCAGTATCTTACAGTAGAAAGTAGAAGGTGGGTTTGGAGCTGAGAGAAAATAACTTAATAACTACCACAGGTGCCTTTATAAAGTATTAGAAGAAAGAGGTGGACTTAGATGAGAATTAGCTGGTGTTCAAGCAGAGATGGAAGGGAAGTAGAGAAAGCCCAGAGATGATGGGCCTTTTAGGGTCGGAAAAGATGACTGCTTCTGGGCAACAAATAGTATGAGACTGAACAAGGTCTTGGACAACACGAGTTGAAAGATGTGATCACCTCTCAGGCAAATATCAGGTGAAGAGTGTGGTCTTCCCACTTATTATTTCACACAGCTTTTCAATACAGCCACCATTATGTTGAGAGTGAGGCAACAGGGTGATGAAGCAAATAAATATATCAGCTTGAGAATTCTATCTAGGAAAGAACTTGAGTGTGGTTAGTGTCACATGGATCTGACTAGAAGCAAATAGAGCTGAAACCTATGGTGTTAATTTTGTGTGTCAACTTGGCTAGGCCACAGTATGCAGATATTTGGTCAAATTTTATTCTAGATGTTTCTGGGAAGGTATTTTTTAGATAAGATTAACATTTAAATCAGTTGACTTTGAGTAAAGCAGATTATCTTTCATAAAGTGGGTGGGCCTCATCCAATCAGTTGACAGCCTTAATAGAGAAAAGATTGACTTCCCCTGAGAAAGAGGGAATTCAGCCAGCAGACTGCCTTTGGACTCCAACTGCAACATCAATTCTTCCATGGGTTGCCAGCTGCTGGCCTACCTTGTAAATTTTGGACTTGCCAGTCTCTACAATCATATGAGCCAGTTCCTTAAAATCAATCAATCAATCTCTCTCTCTCTCTCTCTCATACACACACACACACACACACACACACACACACACGCACACACATATATACATCCTATTGGTTATGTTTCTCTGGAAAACTCTGACTTATACACCAAAAATGTTTTGAGGTAATAGTATTGCCAAAGAAACTATGAGCCCAAACTAGAAAAGCCTTTGGCTGCCTAAAATTTATATGAAATCTTAAGGGACCCTGAACAGCCAAAACAATTTTGAACAAGAAGAATAAAGTTGGAGGTCTCAACCTTTCTGATTTCAAAACTTACTACAGGGAGGGAAGAGGGCGAAAGGGATGATTAGGCACATATGTGTGGTGATGGATTGTCATTAGTATTTGGGTGGTGAACATGATGTAATCTATGTGGACATGGAAGTATAATGATGTACACCTGAAATTTATACAATGTTATAAACCAATATTACCACAATAAAAATAAAATAAAATTTCAAAAAAAAATCTTACTACAAAGCTACAGTGATCAAAACAATGCAATGTTGGCATAAAGACAGACATATAGACCAATGGAATAGAATAAACAGCCTAGAAATAAACCCTCTCATATATGGTCAAATGATTTCGACAAGAGCTCCAAGACCAATCAATGGGGAAAGGACAGTCTTTTCAACAAATGGTGCTGGGAAAACTGTATATTCACATGTGTAAGAATGAAGTTCGACCTTGACCTTACATCACATATGAAAATTAATCCAAAATGGATAAAAGACCTAAACATAAGAGTTAAAGTTATAAAACTCTTAGAAGAAAACATAGGGCAAAACCTTCACGACATTGGATTTGGCAATGATTTCTTGCATATGACACCAAAAGCACAGGCAACAAGAAAAAATAGATAAACTGGACTTCATCAAAATTAAATTCTTTTTTTTTTCTTTGTGAGGAAGATCAGCCCTGAGCTAACATCTATTGCCAATCCTCCTCCTTTGTTTTTTTTCCCTTCTTCTCCCCAAAGCCCCAGTAGATAGCTGTATGTCGTAGTTGCACATCCTGCTAGTTGCTGTATGTGGGACACCACCACAGCATGGCCAGACAAGAAGTGCCTCGGTGCGCGCCTGGGATCCAAACCCAGGCCA